ACAGCCAGCTATTATTTAATTGAATTTTAATACCAGCAAAAGCAGACAGCAAAATGTCCACGAATCTGCAGAAACCCCTGTCCACGCCAGCGTGTGTGCACTGTACCCACAGCAGTAACAGGGAGAAGGCAGAAGGCAAGACCCGCTCCACGCATCAAGCAAAGTCTAGGGGGGGGGGGGGGGGGGGGGGGGGGGGGGGGGTTCTCCTCATTGCAGATGTTTTTGAGGGATTTCTGTTACAATTTCAGAGGGAAAAACAGTTTTTTTGTGTGTCGTCAGCGCTTGGCTTTAACAAGGACCTGCTGCCGTCTTCCGTATTTCCTTTTATGCTTTTTCTCTCTCTCTCTCTCTCGCTGTGAAGAGGGAAATTGTTTCCGCCGCACTTAGCGATGCCGTCAGTCCTTCAGTCCCTGCATCCTCCATCTTTTTTCCCCCATTTGATGGCAAACATTTCCGCAGCTCGTCGCATAATTTAATGCAAATACGCGCAGCCACGCCGCATGCCGCATGCCGCATGCCGCAGCAGTGTTCCCTGAGTATCGATTTTGGTGAGATTTGTTGTGCATTTTAAGCCCGGGGGCTGGGTGGCCTGTCCTTGGGCTGACCTTTGGGAGCTGCATCCTGCTGCAGTCAGCATCCGGGCGGGTCCTTGGGCGCTGCAGGACACAGACAGGCCAGTGCCAGTGTGTCCCTATTCCCGGCAATTAAATGCCCGTCGAATGCTTATTAAGCTGTCAGTTGCCATTTGCCGTTGCAGGCTGCAATTACGGCAATTTGAATTTTTAAAATCGGACAGCGACAGGGGCCCGCGCAGGTCATTCGATTACTTCTCAGGCAACGGCTTCGCACTTGCGAGTTTTCGCACGCAACCCTCCACAGCCACAAAGCCCCGCCCCGCGCAAAAATAAGCAAACGCCAAACGGCACGGAGATGGAATGATAAAAAGGTAAAACACAGAGAATATGCACGCACCCGCAGCTACATGTAAATAGACACATAGTGTGTGTGTGTGTGTGTGCGTGTTTTTGTGAGCAAAGAAATCGAATTTCAAATTTCAGAGACCGAAATTTAAACATGCACAAAACACAAAAAGCAAAAACAAATACAGCAAAAAAGAACTAAAGGGATAGCACAACTTTTGTGAAATATTTCCTCGTTTCTTTTTTTGCGCAAAGGGCTTATAGCGGATTTATTTGGCAACGCACGCGTCGTGTCCCCGCCCTGCCCCGTGTTACAATCACACAACCGAAAAACAAACACAAATGCACGCAATCCAAATATTAACGGGAGAACTCTCAGTCTCCAACAAAAAATATACAAATTTGCAAAGCACACAGAGAGAGAGAGAGACAGACAGAGAGAGAGAGACATCTTCATTGACAACGGAATAGAAGGAACATGGAGTGGGAGAGCGAGAGGGATTGGAGCATGGCGATGGAGCGGGACATATACAGTGGCAGAGGCAGCGACAGCGACAGCGGCAGCGTCACAAAGGGGAAACGGCTTAGGCCAAACATGGAACAAGGGACAACGGTACAATGGGACACACTGAAGCTGCCAGAAAAAACTTTGGCCCATGCTGATGATGAGGCCAATGGGATTTGATTTGGATTTGATGCCTTGATGTCGATAAGACTTTCAAATAGTTAACCCTAAAAACATTGACTGCCTGCAGAGGAGAAAAAAGATGTAAGATTTGGACAGTCAACTTGGTATAATATTTGCTAGAAGATTTTGCTATAATATTTATGGCAATTTATGCACGGAATAAGTAGCTTAAACAAACTACCGGGGCAGCGCTGATGGAAAATGTTTTCTGAGTGTTAAATTTATTCGATTTCTGTGCAGCATCTGGAATAGTCTCCCAAGCAGAACAGCTAGCCGTATTCTGATGCCATATGGCTGAAAGCCATAAAACATATGTATGTACATATGTATGTATTTATGTACATTGTACATAATTACACATGTAAATGGCTCTGCCCCTCACAAGTACGAGTAACCAGATCTTGGAGCTTGAGCTCTGAGACTAAGTTGCTGGGGGGAGATGCTGTGCTGGCTGCTGTGCTGTGCTGTGTGGCGGAGGGGTTTCTATGTATGTGGCAGTCACGCCTCACGCCCGTTTTTGGAGTCTACTTTGCCGCCAAATGCTTTTCGCTTAATGAGTTTTCTACTTGCGGTTTTCGTGGAAATTTTTGCGCCACTCCAGCACAGTGCACACTTCCACGGCTTTTACCTAAAACCCTAAACCCTGCCAGAGGCTGGGCAGGGGGGGGGTACGCTGTAAATGTTTTAGTGGTTACCGCGTTTAAGTCATTAGAGAAAATTCTTAGCTAAAGTGCGGCATAAAAAGGGGTGTAGCCAGAGCCCAGACCAACTCAAGGAGCAGAAGGCAACAACAGCAGCAGGAAGAGATGGGCAAAGTTTTTGCCGTCAGAACTGGGCTCGGCTTTGGCTTTGGCTTTGGCTTCTAGTATTGCCGGTGCCACAACCTCAGAGGTGGTGAAATACGAATGATGACTGACTGCTGTCTCTGCCTGCTGGCTGTGGCTCTTTTGTGGTGCGTCTTTACCATTCACAAAATTAATTCAAATGAATTTCACTTCAAAAAAGATGTTGAATATTATTATCTATCCGCCTGCCTGGCTGTTGTGTGAAACAAATTGAAAGGAACTCAATCAGTGCTGCGCCGCCAATAAGCAAAGGAAAATCTTTTATTTATTTTTTTCTTTAAACTCAAACCAACAACACGAAGACGGACAAACAATAGAAGTAGAACAAAGAGCGGCACTCTCTCTTGAGCGGCACTCAGAACTCGCTCTCACACTCCCGCACTCTCCCTCTCACACTCACTAACACTCCTTCTCTCTCCATCTCTCTTGCTCTGCCTACGCTCAAGAGAGTGCGTTTGGTACTGCTCTTTTGAGTGCGAGATTTTGAGCACTCAGCTCTCCCTCCGTGGTCCTATTTGTTGTCGCCAAAATCGAAGCAAAACAAAGCAAAAAATTAGCAGCTTCGATCTAGTAACTGCGTATCATAATTGTAAGTGCAAACAAGTCTGGATTGAGGCTAGACATCATGGATATTTATGTTTATATTTATTTTCGATTTCTGCAGACAACTTAAGTGGATTATCAAACAAAAGAGCGAAGGCAGAGCCCACTACTTAACACTAGACCACAAATTTCAACGGCAAATATGGCTACGAACAGACGGGCTATGCCAGAAAATTGTCAACTTTGAGTGTGCCATAAATATGGTGGGAGATTATGAAATAGTTCCAATGATGATAATACCCTCAGAATACTTGGGGAAACTATATGTTGTACCCCATTTACATATTTACATTCGTTGCCCCCACAAGTTCCTCAAAAACAAACATTTTGCAGCTGCAATTGATAAGCCAAATTGGCTGGCTGAATGTTGTCCATTGTCACTGTCGGATTTTATGAAAGGGCAAACCCAATCTGAAGCACAACCTCTGGCCCAGTCCCAGTCCGTCATCAAAGGGGCAACACCGCCAGACGCAATGTCTTTTGGTGTACTAGGGAACAACTCAATTCCCGGCACTTGGACTGCACCCAAGACATGGAAGCATGGCCCATTGTGGTGTATTTTGTTGTGTTCCGCGGCTGTTGGCTGATAAGCTGCGCGCGCACACACCAGTATTTGCCTTTGACATTTGTACTAATTGCTGGCTAAATATTTACACGGATTATACAGGCCAATGCATGGCTGGCTGGCTGGCTGGTGTAAAATCTACTCTGTAGATGGTGTGTGGGGGATAGTGTGTAAAAGTACATTTTAGATGTCGGGGAGTGCCACGCTTTCTGCAGAAATATTTCACTTTACAGTGGATGTTCCCCGTAGCCCAGTGGTAACTTTTATTGAACTGCAGAAAATAATTCTGCTGCCCATTGCCTTGCTCAACTTTGACGACTCTCTCTCTCTCTCTCTGCTGTGGCTTTGCGTTTTGCCTTTGCCTTTTGCCTTTACCGTTCCCTTTTGCTCACCCCTTTTCTCTGCACAGCATCGGTCTCTTATCGGTTGGCCCCGTAATTAACGTGTTCTATTTCTGGATGTTGTCTTGTCGCCGCTCCATCAATTGTATCATCAATTGAGTTTCAGCTCCACAATAAGATTATCAAAGCTGAAACGGACGGACGAGCCCAAGCTCTAGTCTGCTGGCTGATTTCTGCTGTTGCTGTTGCTGTTTGTTGATTTAATAAATTAAAACTCGTAAATTAACTGTGAAGGCAAAACGACGCGCGTCTGTGTGTGTGTGCATGCCCCGTTCCCATATGGCGTGCAAGAGCCACCAAGAGAGCCTGCAGAAGAGTCTCCAAAAAAAGTCTACAAAAGAACCGCAACAAGAGCCTGCGGTTGTGGAGAGCCTTTGGGCTGGCAGCGCTTAAACCTCAAATATTAAGGGGATAAAAACCCCAGAAATGAACACACGTGTGGCGCTTCCCTTGAGCAAATACATATGCCAACAATATCCACTATTCCAACACTCCATATCCCATGCCCCTGCCCCTGCCCCTGCCCCTTTGCTACCTTTGCTGGAGGTTGTCCCTTGCCCGCAGCCGACAGCTGTCTTATCAGTAGTTTGCCCATCTGCGTTAATGATGCAGCAGCAGGGGGGGGCAGCAGATAAGCGACAAAACCCCCCACCCCCCTCCTTTTCCTATCAGCTGTGATAAGAGCTTCGATATGGGATACACACCTCCAACCGCAGTCAATTGTTGAAGTCGTTAACCCCCCGTTCGGTTGGTGGGTGCATGCAACATGATTGATTTCCCGTTGCAGCAAACATCGAAGGGAAAATCTTGCACTTCAACATGCAAAAAGCCTAAGGCCTAAGGGTGGAATTCCTCCTGCAGCAGGGCTCTTTGCCTCCATTTGCAAGTCGCTGCAGCTCTTGTCCGCGTTCCGCTGCGTGTCCAAAAGGCTTTTCCAACCAATTAAAGCTCGCATTAGCCAACCTCCGTGGCAGTCACTCCCTCAGTAGCCCAATGGAGCTCGGCAACGGCTTTGTGCACGCGTACAAGACGCGCCTGTTGCTGCATCTTGTGGCAGCCACACATCTCGGCTGTGCCGTCCGCCACGACTACCTGTACGCGCGGCTGCCGCAGCTGGCGGTGGAGCTGCGGCTGGAGGCGCCCATGGGGGGCAAGCTCAAGTACTTGACCTTTCTGAGCGGCCTGCTGCAGTTCGCCTACTACCTCCTGGCGCTGGTCTACGATGTCCTGCGGGCACGGCGACTGCGGCTGTTGCGGGACTTTCTGCTGGCCAGCTACGTGGTGCCCTTGGGCCTGACGGTCAGCCTCACCTTTTGGACGCTGTGCGCCATCGGGCAGGAGTCCATTTATCCCGGATTACTCGACCTCATCTATCCCGCGTGGCTCAACCACGCGCTGCACTCGTTCGTCGTGCTCTACGCCCTCCTGGAGCTGTGCATCTCGCAGCATCGCTACCCTCCGCGCAGCAGGGGACTCGCTGGATTGGCACTGTTTATGGCTTCGTATCTGGCCTGGCTGCACTACATCTGGCTAAGGACTGGCATCTGGGTGTATCCCTTCTTGGGCGCTCTTTCTGCAACCGTGCGGCTGCTCTTCCTTGCGCTGATTGTGGCCCTGAGCTTTGCCTACTACTTGCTTGGGGAGCGAACGAACGCAGTTCTGTGGCCACGTAACTCTTGCGGCATGCGACGCTGGAGCAGCAGCGAGTAAAAGCAGCGAGCAAAAGCAGCGAGTGGGAGCTAACGTAATTGTTCCACGCTGATTAACAAACGAAAATCAATTGGCTGCACGTTGCACTCAATGGAAAGGAACAAACAGAACCCCAGCAGCACTTTCGGTGCCAGAAAAGTGAAACTCACTTCAAGCAAAATGCAAGTAAATATTTGAAGAATTCCGGGACAAGTGCCTGCCTGGCTTTGGCTCTGGTTTAGTCTTGATTTTGTGTCGGTTTCATCATTAATCATGCCCAATGCCGCACAGCTGGCTGGGGACGGGCAAAATGGCAATAATTCAGCTGCCAAAACAGCTGAAGGCTGCCCTCAATCCACACAATCCTTTCAGCACGAGTCGAGGTTCCAATTTCAGGCGAAACAGAGACACAGCAGACGGTCCTCCAGGCAGGCACTTGTGCTAAAAATATACATTTCAATATTGAATGCCGAAAACAGCTGAAATCCATGCAGGACCTGGCATTTTTCGGCTTGCTTATTGCTTGCCGGAACTGGGACGAGTGCGTTGAGGCCGGAAACGTGTTTCGTGTGCACGCGGGGAATGTCCTGTGTCCTGCACGCACGGTGGGCAGCAGTTTGAGGCCAATTTTCGAATGTTTTTGAATGGAGAATTGCTCGATGCAAGGCTGCCAATTTGCCCTCAAAGTTGCGACTTTTGTGGGTAACGGAAGTTGATTTTTGTAGCACAGAGAGCACGTCTCGCAGATTTCTTTCTCTCTTCTTAATGTTTGCATAAAGAGGAAGCTTCCGCACTGTGGCAACATGTGTTGCACAAATGGAGCACTCGTCAGAGTAAGATTCTGAAGAGGAGCCAAAATCTAGCCTGAATTATGATTGGATATCCATCCTGGTTCCTGTGGCCCCACTGCTGCTGCTGCTCTTCCCAATAAAAATGTCATGTTGCTGTCACTTCATGAGCAAAGATGCTGCTGCACGTGTGTGTTGTGCGTTGTGTGTGGCAGAGACATTTCCATTTGCCATTTGCCACTTTGTAAAACGCGCACACTGGGGAGGGGCTAAAAATCGCGCAAGGATGTCCCCTGGGAGGGCGACATGAAGGATGTTGTTGCTTAGAGCCAGAGCGCCAGAGAGCTCAGGGCTAAGGGTGTGGCAGCTGTGCTGCCCCCCTTGGCGCACACCTTTCGAAAGTAATTTCTTGCGGCAGACGCGCATTGTTGGCATTTTGGTGGTTAAGGTGACAGCCTCCCCGGCGGAATGCTTATAGGAAATTCTACTTCTGTGATTGTCGCACATAAATTATGTGCGAAAGTGTTTCCGACGGCACAGCTGTTCCAGCGAGCAGGCGACACTTTTAATTATTTTGACCCGTCATTACACTCCTTTCTGTCACACTCCTTGCTGCCATTTGTGCACATTTAGAGCCGAATATTTCCTCTCTTTTCCAGCCACGCAAAATGTAGTTCCAGTTCCTTGCTGCTGAACAACCTGCAAGTATTCCCTTCCCGTTCAGCCTCCAATCGGAACTTTGCTTTATTTTTCAGCCAAAGTTGTGGCATAGTTTTGTGGCGCAACTTTCCACAAAAGGAAGAAGGAGCAGAGTTATCTGTGTGGCTATTCCCCCCCAAGGAATGCTCAACTTAAATTATCAAAAAATTGTTTCATGTACACAAAAAAGAGCTCCAAGTTTCGGCTTGGGTTGTGCTTCAGAGAACGAGAACGAGAACGACTCTCGCTGGCCACAAAGTAATAGGTGCACGACGAGGGAATCTAAATGAAGTTACCAACTTTGCATATTAAGACCTTTTGGAAACCGGAACATGGAGTTCACCCAGAGACCCAAAGAGGCACACAAGTACACCCATCCGTTCGTTCGTTCGTCTGTCCGTTCGTCTGTCCGTTCGTGTGTCCGTCGCCACACATAAGCCACATGCAATGTTCAATGGATATGCGCAAAGAACACTCGAAGGGGCTCTGTCCATGAGTCGCAGGTGCCCAAAGGCTGGCATAGAACCATAGCACCCAAATATATCTCCCGTTTCCATCCTGCTCTTAGCAGTCATAAATGCCACAACAAGTTTGGTGTGGCCATTCATTGATTTCAGTTTCCAGTGGCTTTTACGACTTTGACAGTTCCCGACTGGAGCTGCAGATGGCCATTAAAACCGCACGGGCAGCACTTTAATGGTGCGAATGAGTCGTAGGTGTTCCACGGGGGAGGGGAGGCTGCCCATTGGCTGCCATTAGACACAAGTTCGAGTGTAGCCATAGCCATAATCAAAGGCAATCAACTGTTAACAATTTATGACACTTATAATGGCATCTTTATGCGTGGAGTTTCCTCGCCGGGAAAGTGCCTTTGCATGCGATTTGCCTTCTGCCTGGCAGCGAGAAAAATATCGACATAAATATTGTTCAATTGTGTGTCAAGAGAGCAAAGCAAAGCTTTCCTACAATTTATTTGTAGTTCTCACTATTAAGTCTAGCAAAACATAACACAATTAATGGCTTCAATAAAGAAAATTGCCACCGGGCAGAGCAGAATACTTTGCGCCACCCACAGGCAAATCATAAACAGTTTTGTCAACGTTATAGGTGCGAAAACGGCATCCTTCATCAGAAATATGCCCTGCGTAATGAACACCCAAACGGCCCTTACCATTTCGATAAAACAAAACAAACCTATGCCCGATTGGCAGCCGATTATTACTCTGGTCATGGCCATAATGATCTTCGCGATCCTTTTGGCGAATCCCTCCTGTATGATGCATCGCACAAATTCGATTCCTGCCTGCTTGGCTGGCCATACCAACTGCTTGGCGGAACGACCAATGCAGCGCCACATCGAAAAGCGGAACACTTTCCACAGCAGCTTAAACCAGAAGCCCGACGGTGCAGACCAGAAGCCGGACTTAACCACACAAAAAAACGCAACCAGCAGGAACACAACGAAAAGTTTCTTCAATGGAAAGTGGAAGCCTCGCTGCGGGAAGGCCATCGCTGGTGAAGAGAATTTTCCGTAATCTTTCGCTCTTCACTGCAGATCTTCTACTGTTGATCTGTTCATTATTCCAGCCGTCACATTTTAGCCATCAAATTCCATGAAGTGTGTCCAATTGTTGATCAATCGGTTACAGCTCCACACAGTTTATATTTGCCATTCGCTCCGCTGAGTTGAAAAATGTTTGCTCCAGTCTCCTGGCACATCGCGAGAGCAAGGCAAAGCTTCAACAATTTATTTGTAGTTCTCACTTTTAAGTCTAGCAAGACATAACACAATTAATGCCTTCAATAAAGAAAATTCCCAGCGGGCAGATCAGAATAGTGAGCGCCACCCACAGGCAAATCATAAGCATTTTTCCCACCGTTATAGGTGAGAAAATGGCATCCTTCAACAGCAATAGGCCCTGCCAAATGAGCACCCAAATGGCTAATAGGATGTTGATAAAACAATGCAAACTTAGGCCCGTTTTGCAGCCCTTTATTGCTGTGGACATGGCCTGAATGATCTTCGAGATCCTCTTGCCGGCTGCCTGCCTTATGATGCATCGCACAAATTCGATGGCTGCCTGCTTGGCTGGCCATGCCAACTGCTTGGCGGAACGACCAATGCAGCGCCACATCGAAAAGCGAAACACTTTAAACAGCAGATTTATCCAGAAGCCGCGCGGTGTAGACCAGAAGCCGGACTTAACCACACAAAAAAACGCAACCAGAAGGAACACAACGAAAACTTTCTTCAATGGAAAGTGGAAGCCTCGCTGCGGGAAGGCCATCACTTGTAAATTTTGACAGAATGGTAAGAGAATTTTCCGTAATCTTTCGCTCTTAACTGCAGATCTTCTACTGTTGATCTGTTCATTATTCCGTCACATTTTAGCCATCAAATTCCATGAAGTGTGTCCAATTGTTGATCAATCGGTTACAGCTCCACACAATGTTTGCTCCACTCTCCTGGCACATCGCCTTAGTTTTGGTACTGCCAAAAGTCACGTATGTATGCCCCCCCCCCCTCCCAGACCTTCTGTTGGTTGAGCAGCGTGGAGGGGTGGCCGCATGGCAACAACAGCTACACTGATGGCCCGGCTCTATGTTCTCTGCGATCTTCTTTGTCTCGCGATTGACGTGCGCTGCTCGCTGAGCCGTGAATTTCGATCAGTTCCGTGCTTGCGCCGTTTGCCAAGAAGGAAATGAATGTCAATTAGTGGACCCGCTCCCGCTCTCTCTCTCTCTCTCTCTCTCTCTCTCTGGCACACCATTAGCACACAATGGTGGGGGAGAATATTTGCGAAACGGTCAACAAACTTCGAGTCTCCAGTTTGCTCTGATATGGAGAATATTTAAACACACAAAGGGCAAGCTCTTCCACTGTGCGTGTTCCCCTTAGCCAGTTCTCACTGTGTCTGGGTTGTGCTTCAGTTGTCGCTGCTGCTCTTCAGTTGTCGTTTTGTGCATTTTATTGCCGCTGCGAATTTGCATTGCCCCCCCCCCCCCTCCCCCCCCCTTTCGATCTGACCACACACACATAGCCGCTTTGTAGAGATGTGTGTGTGTGTGTGTGTGTGTAGATGAGATTGTGGCTTTTGATTGATTGCCTCTGGGCTGTATGCTAATTAATTTGAGCATCGGTTGAGCATTATTCAGCTCCAATGCAAATTTGTGTGTCGTGCGGTTACATTGAACTCTGCCGTTGTCAAGGGTGAGTGTGTGTGCGGGGGGGGGGGGGGGATTGTAGTTCCGGCATTTTTGACTTTACTCATAGAAAGCAGATTATGCTTGGGTACTCTGTGGGATGGACACGTCAGCGTAATTAGGAGAACATCGTCAAGGCGGTTTTTAATGATTTTCCAGGTGCACGTGACTTTGTCGCCAAACTACGTTTGGGCGCCAGTGACGTCGTTACCTTCCCCCACCTCGACCTTTGAGCAAACGGACACACGTACGCTGCGCCGCAGTCGACGTCACATGTGACGCGGACGACATCCAAAAGAGATCCCGAAAGAGAGCCGCCTGGTGGTGGGCGCCGGGCAACGGTTCTTCCTCTCTCCGCTACCTGCCATCTGGCTACCTGCTGCTCGTACGTGATGTCTGGACAAACGTGCCGTTGTCTGCGGCCAGAGAGAGAGAGAGAGAGAGAGAGAGAGTAAGAGAGAGGGTCAAAGAGATTCGTAAAATGCTTTTTAATGCAAATTAATTTGCAATAAGCAATGGTCTGAGATTTGCACTCAAATTAAAATCCTTTGACTAAC